AAACAAGTGTCCTGAACAGCATAAGGACCATTAATTTGATTTTAAGTGTAACAATGTTATTCGCAGTATGTTTAATAGTACGTATGTTGTTTCTTTTTGTGATTCTGAAATTTGTTATTGTAAGGCTAGATACACTTAGTGTGTGTGCTCTTCAGTTGCCTGGTGAAAAGTGGGCTAAGTTTTGTCCTATCGTGGCCAGCTGGCTTCAAAATGTACGAAACTAAACTGTGACTATTCATTGTGAGCGGGGGGGCAGGGGAGCTGATTCAGAACTCACCAAGGTGGTGAATCACAGATAACCATCTTGTACCTCAGACTTCCACCTCCACGGCAATGAGACGCTTGTACAGCAAGTAGGGTTTTCTTTTTACGTTTGTGAAATGTTTGTTGGGGCGGGGGGGGGTTTCCCCCATTTGCAGAATTCATAATGGGATTTTGCCAAAAAACAAGACCCTCTTTAGAATGAGTTTTGGGACTCAGTAAGGCCTTCTATGAATGCACAAATTAAGATACAGTACAGGTCATATAATTATTACACACACACACGTTCTCGTAAATGACAGAGACAAAATATGGCAATGTAATTTTACATAACGCTTAATTTACATGATGATGTCTGTGCAGAGCTTTGCATGTTATCCCCTTACATGCGTCCATTTTTTTCTGGGCACTCCAATTTTCTCCCACATGAAGCCAAATACAGAATTGGTCAAACATCCCAATGCAAGATGCTCCTGAAAGAGGGCCTAAAGACCCAATAAGTTTTCCACGGATATATGAGGGTGTGACTCTTACATATGTAATAAGTAATATTTAAAAATACTTTTTTTTTTAAAACACACCTTCATGAAATGTACCGTACGAGTAATGGCAGAACTCCACGACTCCAAGAAGTGTCCGCAAAGCTTGCCACAACGTAACGGACCGTGGTCATTTAAAGCCAACGTAAGTTGAGCGTGGACAATTAGACCCAAGGCGAAACATAACATATAAAAAACAATGTTTAAAATTGTTTTGATAGAATATAGTTATTGTCATCAGTATGACATAAGTATACCAAGTTTGCAGTCGATACCACATTGGGAAGTGGGTTAAAATTGAGGTACAAGATTTGAGGATACAACAACAACAATAACAACAGACAGAGTGAGTTAAATAAAAGCTTGTAAAAATATATATACATTCGTCCATTACACTGCTTTAAAAAGCAAAGTTATTCAATGAGCAACATTTCGGACAGAGGTAACTACACCTCTCCGGCCTCTCTAGATGCTGTCAAGAAGGGCCATTGCCAGAAACGTCTGTTCTATACTCTTTCTTTTTAAGGCAGTGTTATTGACGAATGTAATAATATATTTTTATTTATTATTTTTGCTTGTGCACCACTGCGGTAACACCAAATAATATTATTAGTGTTTGTTCCCCATCGACTTATAGAGCTCGTGAACAAGACTGCATTGATGTATATAACATTGATGTATGTAACATATATCAAACGTGGATCAAATAAAATTTAATGGGATCGCTCGGCAATCTCAGACTCCTCCGTGGAATATTCTGCTTTGTAATAATTTGAAAACGCATGAAATATAAAATAAAAACATTTAATAATGCAGGAACTCATATATAATTAAATGTAATTCATAATGAGGGTCTTGTGCAGGTGCTTACGGTGAAAGTTATTCATGGGAGTTTTATTTTCTCACCATTTTATAATTATTGCTGTGCGCCTATTCATTGTCATAGCGTTCAAGCAAACACAAACCAACGGAGGAAGCAACACAATCACTCCGCGGCCGTTTAAACCCGAGCACGATCTTTGCGATTCAAAGCTATGAGGCCCTTTGTCTGGGGGGGGGGGGGTGGCGGCGTTCCGTGACGTTCCATCGACGCTTCATAGGTAAGGCGTGACCGCTGTTCAGCGGTGGGTCACCTGTTCAGACTCTCTCCCCATACAGCCAGCCGTGTCCCCTCGTGTATTCGCACAAGTCGCCGACCAAGTCAGCTCTCGGCAAAAAAGGTCAATTATCGATCAATTATCGATTGATAATTGACCTTTTTGGGTCAGGCCTCGTAATGATATGGCTTAATCTGATTCCATTAGTTTTTTTTTTGAACGGTGTCAATGGAAGGGTGTGTTTCAGCTACGTTTGTCGTATATTTACACCGGAGGTTTCACCTTTCCTAACACGCAGATTTTTTGTTCAGTTAAATTTTGGTGAAAATCCTGGTTCTTGAACATGTAAATCGCACTGTGCTTTTTTTCTGAAATAAAAAGCAATTGTAAGTTGAAACTTTATTAATCTTTCCCCTCCGAGTGCGATGTGTATAATGTCGTGCATCGTTGCTTTTGCTGTTGTATATATTCCGTATTTTATTTTACTCGATACTTTTTAGAGGCGCTGTAACGTATTGTCGCTAAGTTAATGACTTGCTCTATCCAGTTGTAACTTGGTAAAGGCTTGCTGCCTTAATGGATACTCACCTTGTGATAAAAAAAAGGATACAATTATTGTCACTGCTCGAAAATGAACAATGGTAATTTGTAACGCACACAATTTTCACTTTGCCCGAAGGCAACAAACAAACAAACACAATGGCAAGAAGAGACATTTTGGCAATCAACAGTTGTCATTGCCTGTAATTAAGTTTACAAGCCCTGACAGACATCTGTCTGATCGAGAATCAGTGATCAGCCTTTCCTTCAATGCCCCTTCATTATTGTAAATTACATCCCCCGCGGCCAATCTTGAGAGAGCTGGTGGGTGGCGGTGAGGGTAGTCGGGGGGGGGGGGTGGTTCTTGATGTGCGTTTGTTCGCCGGCGGTTTGAAGCTGTGGAGAAAGTGCACCTACTGAGGAGAGTTGTTTAATTGCTCCGGGGGTCCTGCTGTTGTGAGATCGAGTTCAGCCGCTCCGTTAATTACTGCCGAGTAATTTGCATACTTTAATTGACGACGCGGCGCTGATGGGAGAGCGCTCGCCTCGACGTACCGCTCGTGTCAAACGAGCGGCGTTTGCGTTCGCTCATTACGCACTACAACGCTGGTGGGGTGTTAACAGCGCACAAACGATAAAAGAGCGGCGATCGAGCACCTTTAAAGGGAAATCGGCCTAAAAATATATTTCAAAGAGCAGACAAGAAAGGCCTACGATGCGTGAAGCTGGATTGTGACACTTTTCAGGTTTGTGGACACGTCGGGGGCGTGCGCTGATGGACATGGTTCCAGCTGACCTAACTGCATCATTAGCGTGCCGCGCCACCCGTTACAATGTCTCCCGTGTCTTTACAGTAGGCGGAGGCTTCCACGACAAGCCACCCTCCACTCGTCGTCCTGCATATGCCATCTCGGCGCTTTGTACTGTGCCAACATCCATGAGTCCCCCCTCTCTCCCCCTACTTCTCTTTCTTGTGCTCTGCCTGCCAAGCAGCCCCGCGGGCACTGTCTCCTCAAATTGACGATATTTAAGTGCCAACGTGGGAGTTAATTTTCTTGTGTCTGATGTTTGATGTCAAGTATCATCTCAAAGTCTGAAGCATGCAGCCAAAGCTCTTAATGAGCCTTTCCTGGTGTTGTGAAGCGTCTCATTCCTTAGTTCCTGAAGGATTCTCTTGACTTAAAGCTTTCGTGACTGCAGGAATTCATGTTGGCACCTTTCGGTAAAGTCACGTAGATAGAAAAAAAATCACGACCTTCACGGTGTCGTGTGGCAATCAAAAGGATACATTTTGTTATTCTAAGAGCTGGGATTTAACAAAATTAAGTGACAAGCAATCAACCCCCACTCTACTTGAGAACCTGTTTTTATCACAGTCGGCTAAATCCTGGGTTTGAACCCAGGATCTCAGAGGTGCCAACTCAGGGCTCCGATCCCTACTGTACCGGGTCAGAGTGCATTGTGGGTTGCTAAATATTGAATATGGAGGGAAAAAAACCCGGTCTCAGCTTCAGAGAGTCAGACAGTGATTTCAGGAAACCTGTAATTTAGTAAATATTTTATTTTTGGTTCAATGCTTGCAAATATCATTTGTGTGGGCAGAATTGTATTTTCGTCAAAATAAACCCAAAATGATGCCAACATATGTCAGTGTTACATGTTGGCACCTTTCATGAGTAATTGTGAGTGAATGGATCTGACGGTATAATATTTCTCACACGGAAAAACGAACACAAAAGAAAATAAATCAGTACATTGAAAAAAACTGGACAGTGTTTTGTATGCGAGAGAGAGAGGAAAATGTGAAAATGAAAGACAAGAGGAGATCCCATTGTGATGGTAAATGAGAAATTGATTATCATGATAGTGGGAAGAGACGTCGAGGTAAGAGATACCAGGTAACACGGCCAAGAAGCTCACCACAAACCGAACTGTGCTTGCTGGTTTTTATCCACCTACATTTCCCTAATCCGCGTGAAAAATTCCGTTTCACATCTTACTCGGCTCCACACAGCCTCGTGCATCGTGTCATTACACTGACTTGTTTTCCTGCCAAATGTGTAAATATGATACAGTTACAGTGTGGATTTGCATAGCGTCTAGGCCAAACCTGTCTCATGAGGCTGCATTAATCATGGTGGTTGAACAAAGGGTGTTTTATGGTGGAGGAGAAAAATTATATTCAGTAGGGTCACACACAAATAAATCATATTTTCCTATACAAATACCATTGACATTATCCACACTCACACATGTCCTGTATAATTAAAAATACAAATAATATTTATCCTTTGATACATGACGTATTGATTTCTTTAATGTGCAGCAAAAAATCCAGGCCACGCAATTTGTGTTTCCATTCCGTAAAGATGCCTTGTTACGGCAAAAATCCACGCCAGTTTTTGCAGCCTGCCCCCAAAGCGTCCTTATAAGGATTGTGTTCCCACCCACATTTGCGTGTGGCTTTAGACATTGTGTTGTAAGGCACGGGCTGTGCGTGTGCCGGAGTGGGGCGGGAATGACGGGGTGATGGGTGGATCGGTGTTTTGGGGGGGGGGGGAGGTAGGAGGTGGGGGTGGCTGGGAGGAGTGAGCCCATGAGCCAACGCTGAGGCTTCGTTAGCAGTGGCAGCAGCTGTGTTTACAGTTCCTTCGCGCGCTGCCCCGCGCACCGAGATGTCAGCAGCTCCTGTCGTTCGACGGCGGCGCGTGGAGACACCGCACGCACGGCCAACGACGCGGCGGGCGCTGCGCGGACTGTCTTTCGATTGAGCGGCTCGCGCGAGCGGGGGCCCCGTGCGTCGGAGATGTCATGAGTGCTTCTGCCGTCCTCCCGCTGCCGTGACGATTGAGCCTGCCCTGAGGTGAAGTGCCGCACGCCGCCGCCGCCACCGTCGGCGTGGTAGCGTCAATCCCCACGCGCGACGCTCGAACGCGTTGTGCAAGCTGTCAGGTGCGTGACCGCGAAGCGATGTAACGTGGCGTCCTGGGTGAGCCTGCAGCTGCTGTAGCTGATGCCAATGCTACTGGTGCTGCTGCCATCGCCACAGTGGAGAGGGGAGGGAGACTGCTGTATGAGGAAAAAGGGCCTCGAGACGTTGGGCGATGAAGGCAGCGTAAACAATTGATTTTGTTTACCGTCACGAGGACGCGATGATGGACCCGCACGACTCCCCAGTGCCGGGTCGCAGGGGCGAGTTTCAGAGGAGGACCGTGTGCCGCATCTCCGTGACTCTGGTCAGAAAAGAGCCGCTGGCGCTCAAGGAGGACGGCTCGGTGCCCGCCGGCGAGTTTGCCCCAGCGGCCAAAGGTCGTGACGTTGCGAGCGCCCTTAACGGAGATTGCGCCGGCCGAGAAGGGGCGCGTGCCGGCAGCTACGAGAGCCTGACTCGGAGTGGCCTGGCCATGGGACGCCGAGGAGCCAGCGGGAAAGCGTACGGCGATGGGCGGTTCGACACCAAGGTCCTCCCGTCCAACGCGGCCCTCCAGCGCGCGCCGGCGGACAATTTCAAACGTGGAGTGATGCTCGCCGAGATGGAGGTGCACAATAGGCCCTCCAAGGGCAATGACCCTGCCAGTCTGGACGGCGCTGCTGGATCACCGGTAGGGAGTGCTGCTGGTGCTGCCCCCGGGAAGAGCGGCAGGGACGGCGCCGATGCTCAGCCGTGGCGCCCGGCGATGGCGCCAGAGCAGAGGAAGCGCGCTCACACCGTCAGCTGCATCACGGGCCGCGTGGACGTGCCACCGCCCAGCCCGAGGGCCCTGCATCAGACAGTGTGGCGCCGAAACCCGGAGCTCGTGTTCCTGCTCGGCGAGAGGGCCCGCAGGAGCGCGCGGCTGCTGCAGGAAGAGCGGGCCAACCGCTGCCTCCCTCCTGGTCGGGATGGGTTGGAACCGGGGCTGGGGGAGCAGGGCTTCCTGTCCACGTCTGATGCCACTGGTCATTGCCCACCCGCCTGGCATGAACCTCATGAAAAAGAGAAACATTTTCAGAAAAAAAATGATTTACCTGTGGATTCTACTTCGTCCTCCCCAGCACATGCATTTCTCAAAGTGGAACAGAAGCCACATATGGAGGCTGTTAAACCGGCCACCCATGAAGGTGATGCAAATCAATCGGTAACGTTCCAGCCAGATGCTTGTAACCCCCGAGTAAAGCCGTGTAACAAAGCCACGTCGGAGGAGGACTATGAAGGGAGCTCCAGTGCATCCACTCGCTCAGGACGCCTGTGCGTGGAGGCCGAGCGGCAGACAACTCCACAGGTGCACAGCGGCGGTGTGGGCAATGTCATCGATGCCAGCGCAGGGGACCAAGTCCAGAACAGTGAGGCAGAGATGGTGGTGGCACATCACAGGGCTCGATCGCACAGCTGCGCAATGGCGACTGCCGCTGAGGCCCTCGCTCGTAGGAGATTCCAGCCGGAGCTGACGGACGTGCCGGAAGTGGCAGCGAGCAGACAAGCTCGCCCGGCCCTGCGGAAGAGAAGCCTGAGCCTTGGCCAAAAATTCCGAGAGCTGTCGCTCGGGAGGAAACTCTCGAGCATACGCGGCCGAGGGGGCGGCCCGTCGACGGACGATGAAAAAGAGAGCGGTGCTCCGGGTGGCGGTGGCAGAAACCTGTCGATCGAGCCAAAGGATGGGGAGATGAACGGTGAGCGCGGTGGGCGCGTGGTCCGGAGTCCGCGCAGAGATAAACCGGTGGCGGAGGAGAGCCGGGTGAAGAGGCTGCTGAGCGGCGCGTTCATCAAGAAGAGGGACGTGGTCTCCGCATCCCCATCGCGAGGGGTCCTCGCCGGCAGCTGGGAGCTGCTGCCCGGGGCCCCGCAAGGCGGCGCTCACGCCAGCGACGGTAACAGCCCATCTCGCCTGCGTGGTGGGGTTGCTCGGTATTTGGGTGGAGTTTGGGCTTAGCCGTTTCGGATTGTGCGGTGCGAAAACGCTTGCTCTGTTTTTTTGTGCTTGTGCTGTTGGCTTGCACCCTTGTTATGTGTTTCGTGCAGGTCTCCTTTTTAACAGAGATCGGTGCTCGTTTGGTGTAAATTAAGGCTTATTATATTCATTCATTCAAGATTGATCAGTGGTACTGCTCATAATGAATTACGTAATCGGAATTAACTGCCCTTTGTGAAACCATTGCTGGATGAAGGCCTTCGCCACTCTGTGTTGGTCGTGGGGTTTGTTTGATCATTCTTTACTACATAGGTGATTGTGGGTTTATGAAGGCAGAGGGGTCCAAGACCGATTCATATATGTATTATTCGCCACCTTACCACTGATATGTCCTATTGTGTCCATGGAGGTAATAAAGATAAGGTCATTCAACACATTTTTATAAAATTACATTGGACAATTCTAAAAGTCACATTTTCATACAACATGCCTCTCATGGCATTAACATCGATGAAAATACTTACTTTCCGACGGAAAAAAGTTTTACAACCAATTAAAAACACACACGTAGCATAAACTATCGGATTTTATCATGCGTATGCTTTAAACAAAACTCTCTTCATGCGGCAGAAAACTTCAGAGCTACTTGAGCGAACTGGCAGGGGCCGCTCAACAGCACGTGTTCACATTTTATTTTAAAAAACGACACTGAAGCTGCCATTGAGTTTGCGTACCAGCGTACGCTTGTTTGCGCAAAATAAAAATGCCGCATTCTGTAATTACGAGCCCAGGTTTACCAGCCCAGGTTTATTTTATGAGGTTCGGTTTTTATTGTGCGTACACGTGTGTGCGTGTCTGTATGTGTGTGTTTTTATTTTATTTAGGCGGCTGAGTTTATGTTCACGGAGATGGCTTTTTTTTATGGAGTGTGTGTTTGTGAAGGGATTCAGGCGTGTCGTGTCTTCGTGGCAGACACTTTGGGGATGTGGCATCTTTGGGGGGGGTCCATCCTTATCACGGTGTTTACTTGTTGTAAAGCAGCCGTCTAAAAATTATCAAAACAGCGCGGACGTTACACAACCTACCACACGCGGCTGGCAAGAGGCACTCGCCTGTCATACCTTGAAACCAGCACGAGCTTGGAGAGAGAGAGACCCTGTTCCACGCCAATGGAGTTCTTGTTATGCAAAGGAGGCTGCTAAGGAGGATGATGATGATGATGTTGTTTTTCAGTCCAGGCTTTCAGAACCCATGATGGATTCTTAGTCGCCGAGTGCTGGCTATTGGAGCAATTGCTGTGGTAGCTCGATGTTGGCTATCAAAGCTCAGTCCAGGCTGTTGTGATTCAGTGCAGGCTGTTGTAGTCATAGACATGCAATGATTAAAACTCTCCTCCCCTCAAGTTATTCGGTGAATCGTTGGAATGCGGTGGCCATGATTTGATCGAAGAATCAAAAATGTTTTCCCTAACTTTTATTTTCTCATTTGTATTGTTTATCACATTTTGCCTCTTTGGGTAGATTTTTGTTTTCATCTGTAAATGATTTGGATGAACCGCAAATAATCATTTCGCAGGCATACAATTAGATGCTTGTATCGCAAGCATAAGAATCGATGCATAGTTAATGCCGAGCAGCAGCGATGGCTGTGCAAGCTCAGTGTTGGCTCTTGGAAGCTCACAAGCAGGCTGCTGTGACTCGGTGCAGGCTGTTGTAGCAGTTCATTACATACTGCTGTAGATTACTGCTGGTTGTTCCGATCAGCTCTGGCTGTTGTAGTTCAGCGCCAGCTCTCACAGCTCATTTTGGGGAGTCATAGAGCTCTGCTGGCTGTAGTAAATCTGCTCTGGCTGTTGAAGGGAAGGGACCTCCCTTCTGTGAAGGTGCCATCACCAGCAACTGCTACACAAGAGTTTCAACCTTGACAGCAGGAATGTTTGCATATTCTAAAAGCTATTGCGGCGTTATAACTCGGCAAAGCTGCCACGTGTGAGCCCACCTGCTCGCTCCACCATGCCAGATTTTTGCCCGAGTGGCATCCTGCTTTGATCAGCATGGCAGAGCTCACGAAAGTTTAGCTCAACCCCCGTCACCGACTCGCTCCACCATGGCTGCGGCTGTGGAAATTTGCCGATGGCATGAAGGAAAAGTTGTTGATTGCTGCTGTGTTAAACTAAACTCTTTTTATTCTACCAGGTGAAGCCAACTGAGCTAGAACTATAGCTTTTTCAGAAGCGACCTGGTCACAAATGATAGCTCACCGAAGTGACCTATCATGTGGAAATGTATAGCAGCCAAATAAATACTCTTAAACACACCAGGTGACTTAACTACCAATTATGTCGGCTATAGAACCTTTAACTATAGTTATCACACAAGCAGTAGGCACGGGTCTGCGTCCGTCAATAATAGTTGCAAAGATGGAATATTACAATCGTACAGAATTGGGAAGTGATTGGCCAACAATCCATGGACCCCAGCGCCCTCCATAGGCTGGAAGGGGACGTTGGCGACAGTGCAGTATGACTCCTTGTATCTGTGACGGGAGTGGGGAGCGAACTTCGCGGGAATGCCTTCCGTAATCTTATCTTGTAACCACTATGGAACCATTTGCGGGTTCGCCACCACTGGACTTCCACTCTAAGGCCTTGGCTCAGGGTTCGCGGAGAGAGCGCATCGTTGGTGAGTAACGACGCTGAAACTCGATCCCCTGAGGCCTGTCCCATCTCGCGAGCAAACGTCCCCAAAAAAGGCTCGGCAGAAACGATGCAGGAACTCGCGTGGCCACAGCCGCTGTGACAAGACGTATATTTAGGCGATGATAATTATTTCATTTTTTTCCCTCCAAAAATATCGTTGCGGGTCGCGAAAGGATGGGAGTTTCTTGTCGTGTGCCGTGCACATGGCGTGGAAGGGCTTGGATGAAGAATAGGTCCCCGTCGGGAACTGACTTTGGGGACGGTTTATCAACCACTCCCTCATTGAGCCACACCCTCTCGTGTGTGAATGTTCACATTTACAATCCCCGCATGATCATTATTCGTATCATTGTTATCCGCCAGAGTTTCTGCCTGTGTGTGTTTGTGTGTGTCTATCTGTAGAGGTTATCTCAGGTCGTGGTGTGCTTGCTGTTATTTGTGTTCCTGTCTTGTAGGTTGCCGTTTGTGTTACATTTCTCTATTTCTGTTGCCCGATGTCTACTTATTACAGCGATACATATTTTAGTTGCCACAGCTGATGACTAGAACTGTCCCCCAGCCTTTATCCGGCAGTATTCTCCTGCCTTCTTTTGAGTGGATGCAAGCATTTGATGTCTGTCTCTCAGGTTGTCTGCAATTGAATCCCCCTGTCTATCTATCTAGTCCGTGTGAGTCACGTACATTTCTTCATCCCTCTGTCCCCTAAGCTGGCTTATCTGTCTGTCAGTCCAAATGTATTTCTGTCCATCTATATGTATGCAATCCTGTCCATTCATCAATGGGTTCATCTGTGTATCCATCAATAAAAACTCAATTGGATTTTCTGCTTTCAGTTATTCTGTCCATTTGTCTGCTTGTTTTTGCATCAAGTCTCCTGTTGATATGTCTGTCCATCTGTTCCTCTGTCCGTCTGCTTCCCTGCCTGCCTATTTATCGGCCTACCTGTCTGTTTTCCCTGCCTGCTTGCCCGTTTGCCTGCGTTTCTGCCTGTCCATTTCCGTCTTCAATTAGCATGGTTGACAACGTACGGTGCGAACAAAGTTAAACGTACATCTCTTTTCTCCTGTCTCTAGCCGCTGCCCCCCCCCCACTCCACGTCGTCCCGTGCCGAGGGCCCCCTCCCCTGTGCCGTGCGCTTGCGAGGAGCTGCGAGCGGGGCCGCATTACCGCGAGATCAAAGCGCGCGGAAACCTCCCGGCCGAGGATTTTCACGCTCGCGTTTTGGCCTTTGGGGTTAAACCGGCTCTCTTAAGCCCCGCGTCGCTCGGGGCGTCCATCGCAAGCCTCTCGTGTGTTATTTTTAAGAGCTCGAGGGAGGAATTTTTTGTTCCCCCCACACCCCCCACCGAAAGTTCGCTCGCCCTGCTGTCGTAAGCAGCTGTGGCGGCGGTGGCAAGGGTAGCAAGGGTAGCGCGGCGTGGTTGGGACGGCAAACGACGACCCTGAGCCCGGCAAAAACCGTGCTCAATTGCGTGATTTGATACGGAAGGGGTGGGGGGGGGGAATGGAAAAAAAAACAACTAGGCACGATGCTAGTAGGAGGGATTCTTTTTGTGACGGCGAGTCGAGGCGCTTTAGGGCGCCGCGCACGGTCGCGGTGCCTGCGTCGCCTCGAGGGCAAGCCCGCGCACGGCACGCGAGTGGCATTCGCGAGTCTTAATTTATGCAAATTAAGCCCCAGCCAATTGCAAATGACGACGCGAAGACGAAAAAAAAACACACGGTCAATAATGAATGAGCGACGTGACATTGGGAGCAGCAACAGCCTGTTCTTCTTCGTTACTGGGCAGAGGCAACATTGTCTTGAGTCTCAATTTGAATATCGCGACGAGCGCGTGAGAATTGTCGATAACTTGGGCGGGGGGGGAGGCGTTTATGATTACAGTGGAAAAGTGTCATTAGGCTTTCGTGTTGAACTGTATGCAAATAGAACATTGTTCAGCCCTGCAATTGATTGCAATTGATTGCAGGGCTGCAATTGCTTGCAGTGCTGCACCGCTGGGTTGGAGAGATGTCAACTACCTCGCCTGGTATACAGGAGGTCGTGGGTACGATCTCGACCCTGACGTCTGTTGCATATTTGGAGTTTGCGTGTTCTCTCTCCATGTCGTAGCGTGGATTTTTCTCCGGGTCCTCTGGGTTTTCCCTCCACATTTAGAAACATTTTTGATTTAAAGCTTTCGTGACTGCAGGGATTCATATTCTTGATTCTTTCGGTAAAGTCACGTAGATAGGAAACAATAAAATAATAAAAATATAAA